GCGGCGCTGTGGCGGCCCGGCTGCCGGCGCGGGGGGGCCGAGCCGCCCCCGCCGCGGGGACCCCGCGCAGCCCGCCCGGCCCAGCGCCTGCCGCGGGCGCTCCGGGACCGGCCAGTGGGAGGAGGAGCGGGGGAAGCACGGGGGTCTCCTCCTCGGCTTCTGCGTGCGGCGGCGGCGGGCGCAGCATCCTCGAGAGCGAGAGGCTGGGAACAAAGGCTCCGCGCCAGCCCCGGCGGCTCCACCTGCCCTGCCCAGCGGAGATGGCGTCCCTCGGCTTAGGGGGGCTCAACGTCTCCGCCCGCAGGAAAAGCGTCCCGTCCCGCAACGCCGCGGTCGAGAGGCGGAACTTGATCACGGTGTGCAGGTGAGCCCCGGCCTGGCCCGCCCGAGGGCATCGTCGTTTCCCTTCTCGCTCCCGCCGCTGCCCGGGGGCCCATCCCGCCCCCCGCCCTCCACCTCGCACAGGTGGGTCGGGGGCGGGAGCGCGGGCGGCCTCCCCGCCGCAGCCCGGTCGGGGGGAGGCAGGCCAGGGGTAGGGCAGCCTCGTCCTCCATCCATCCATCCATCCATCCATTCATCCATCCATCCATCCATCCTGACTCAGCTCCTGCGGGAGGGTGTCCCGGCGGCGGCGAGGGACAGGGTCTCACCGGCCAGCGCCGCTGCTTCGGAGCGTCAGATGGGGTTTTTTGGTGGGAGGAGGTCGCATGGAGCGGGTGACTGAGAGGTTGTTTTTGGGCACCATGCTTGAGTTCTCAGGCGCAAGGCGTGTGCGGGAGCAGGGCAGGGCAGGCTGAGCCCTGGGCAGCGCCGATCGGACGTTGCCCGTCCTCGGGCAGAGCTGGAGCAGCGGCCGCTTCCCTTCGATGGCCGCGGTCCGGCCGCTTGTGGGGTTCAGGCTTCATACGATGTCTCGGACGTGAAGGCGTTCGAGCCCTGTGGAAGCGGCCGAGCGTGTGCTCCTGCGAGCGGGCCGGTGCCGCAGGAGCATCCCGGGGAGGCTGCGCTCCGGGATATTTTTATCTCCGAAATCTAGATCAGGAGATCTGCAGTACGGACTAGAGCTACTGTATTCAAACATTATTTTTTTTTTTTAGCATCTCGGTGCTGAGCTTATGCAAGCTTAGTGGTACGGCGTTCCGTGGAAGCGTTTCCACTGCTGTCACTGTGGAATTCATGCAGCGTTTTCCAGGTGTGCGGCACTGACCCGTTACGTCATGGCAAACTTTTAAATGCGGGCATGTGCTGGTAGCAATGACTCCGTTCGCTCGTTTGTTTCAATTGCTTAATTTTGAAGTTATCAAACTAATTTGCATATTATCTGGGAAAGGTCTACATGAGATCCATGCGGGTTACGATATAGTTTTACTTCTCACGAATCTTAATAAAGTTCCAGGACAACTATTAAATAATTTTATACCATCACCACTTAACGCTGCAGCAGTATTTAAAAATATTTTTCCTTTTTTCTTTTTTTTTCTTTTATTGCATATTGATAATAGGTTTTACAGCTGACTCCATCATTCATCTACTGCAAGGAATTTGCTTCAATATTCTTTCAAGTCATAGTACCTGCATTTCAGAGTAGCATTAGTACTATTCTGTCTTTTCCCAGGCTTTTGTGCTTACTTCTGTTCCTACCTGTGAAAAAGATATGCAACAAAAACAAAGAAAAAGAAGATTTTTCTCAGACTTACTGAAGCAGATCAAATGAAAGAATAAAAGTTTTCAGTTTCACTATGATTACAGAGATGCAGATATTGCCAATCTGTGTGTTCAGGAAAACACCAGTGTTATCAAGTAATGACACCATCATACAGGGTATAAACAGTTCTTTTAAAAAGAGAATATTGTATTCTACAGAACTTGCTGGTTTTTTCTGCCTTCCATTTGAGGCAGTGCTCTTCTGTATTCTGTACTGTTTCATTTTAGTTTTTGTTTTATCATTGTCCTGCAGTTGAAATGATGGTGTAATGTATTTAAAGATGCTTAGAAAGCAGAAGGAATTCAGTCAAACATTTATAAAACAGGGAGCTACTGCAGAAACTACTTGAAATTGGTGTATTTTAATTATTTTCAGTGAAACAATTTAATTTTGCTATATCTTCCCAAAACCTGAAGTTCTTATTTTGTGAATACACATCAAAATTTGGAAAGCATGTTGAGGAAAAAGGATTTTGCATTATTATAATATGTGTACATTTGTGTATATTTTTATTCTTCTACCAGTGTAAGACTAAATATTTAAAAGATTTCTGTGCTTTGCTGTAGTTCTATACTATTATTCTATACTAATAGTTTGTATTCTTCAAAATGGCATTTTAATGACATTTCCCAAACTGCAAGCTAAATAAATTTAACAGAATCCTTTCATTCATTTGAAAACTTAAAAGGAGGAGCAGAATTTGACAATGAAAAGTGACAAATTCATACATCAGTCTAATTTTCCGCTTTTTTGCTTTTTCATTAGAGGCTTGTGGCTGTTTTGGAAATAAGCCTATACATGTGGGATATATCCACAAAAGATTTCGCTTTGGTTTGGAGTTATACAAGAAATTTGGGAGACCTTCTTGTATATCTTGCAGCCTACCCCAAAAAGACTAAGTCTTTCTTATTTAAGAATGTTTCCAGCTTACATAATTCAGAAGGTCTTATTAAGGTTGGAGAATACTACTGTTTCTACGTCTTTTTTTGGCTCAAGCAAGAGTAGATTCGTGACAGAGAAGAACATGTGAGAATCCAAAAACATCAGGGTTAATGAAGGTCTTTTAGAAACACTGATATTGGAATCTCTCCAATGGCAGTTACTATATTTAGAAAAAATTCAAACCCAACAAAACCTTATTGTTGCAGTTACGCAGTGGAAAATGATTGGAAAAAGACTCTTTTTTAAAGAGTCTTGAAGCAACAGGTGTCAGAACTATATTACTGCTCTGCTCCTATAGTCCACCAATAAGTTAATTTTAGAAAATTTTTAGTTTGTTTTCAAGCCACTTTACTTTCTCATGCTTCTTTGCTGCAGTTTCTCTGTTAACCTCTGACATGTAGGTGGACTGTTACACTGGGGAGGTTTAGACTGGATATTAGGAAAGATTTCATCTCTAAAAGGGTGGTCAGGCATTGAAACGGAGTGCCCAGGGAAGTGGTGGAATTGTCATCCCTGGAAGTGTTCCAAAAAGATGTGTATGTGGCACCTGGGGACATGGTTTAGTGGTGGACTTGGATTGGATTGGACTCAATGATCTTAGATTCTATGAAGCTGGGAGCAACAAAGGGAACCAAGGAAACAGCTCTAGCTCTACCTATACGGACATTTTTTTCTTCATAGCTCTTGTGTACTTTAGACCTGACCTTTTGTTTCTTGACTTTCAGTCGCCATGTGGTTCCACATAACTGTGCAAGAGCGTGGACTTTCTTGTCTGGGGGGCCATACAGTGGAAACAACACATGAGGCATCATTGATGACTGAGGCAAATGCTTACTCAATGCTTACACTGTAACCTTTTTCAAAGGCAAAACTTCTACATACCTTAAATCCTTTTTTCCAATCTGCATGGTAAGCATGGCGAAGTGTGAATATTTAACATGCAAAATGTGCTTACAACTTTTAACTTGCACTTAGAAATATGTTTGCCTCCTTGTAGTATTTGGAGAAAAAAAGACAACTCAGAAGTATTTGCCTAAGAGTTTTTTTTTTTTAAATCTCAAGAAAATATTTCTGGTGAATCACATTTTGCCTTGTTGTGTCCTTATCTTCCTGGTCTATGGAAGTAATGGGTACATACTTGCACTCCCTGTCAGTCCTCCTAAAAGACAATTTAACCTAATTTGACATAGCTATAAAGGTTGCTTAGGTTTCTGGTGAAAGTGTAGAGTGGAGAGATGAAAATTAACATTTCCATGGAGTAAAGGGTGGCAGTAATATGAGCACTTAAAAAGAACACCATTATTGATGATGAGCTGTTAGACTGTCTTTTGTAATTGGACCCAAGGTATGTAGAAATTGTTGTATCCTTAAAAACTCGATCTTTTTTCTTCAGTTGAATTGCAGAATGCTTTAAAATTGAAAATATAAAATAAATTTCTTATCTCTGATTTTTAGAAGTGTATGTGAAATTGCTCTTAAGTGTTTCTTCTTGAATATATCTCCATTTCTGAATAGGTATTTGATACAGTATTAATCAGTGAACTATTAAGTAGGTAGTTGAATACAGGAAAAATAGGCATAGCTATATATTGTATTCTACTTTGTTTTGCAGTTTGTTGTTGATCCTTTCTCTGAGTTTTAAGATAATATTCCTGTATATAGTGCAGTACATCACACTGCTAACTCACTGTCTATCTTGTGTATTTATCCCTGAGTGATATGCTGCACTTTCTCTTTTTCAGACCTGCATAGTGGAAGAGGAGTTGTCTTCTTACAGTTAATATTGACTTAGTCATGGCATTGCTATATGCATTTATTTTTCAAAATTAAGAAGGTGTTTTTTGTAGATAATTTCATGGCTCTGGTATAGC